TATTGGAGCAGAACAAAAAGGGGTGGGACTTAGGAAGGGTCAGTTCCAACCATGACCAATGTATTTTTAGTTTTATATATGGTTTTATATTTGTGCCATTGACTGTATGATGTGAACCAACTACATACAAATACAAAGAATGCAACTAAGCATTCGGGCTGTATTTGTGCTTGTCTGTTTCCTCTATGGTACTGTACTGGACTGTGAGGTTGTGGGCGTTGGTGTGGAGTGCCAGTGTCAGGAATGCATAGATGTATGATGTCTCCTTGTTGTTTTGAATCCTCCAGAGTGCATCCGTCAGAAGGCGAATGCAGAGCCCAGCTCTCCCAAAATGTGCTGTGCAATGTGATCAACACTGTGAGTGGCAACACAACAACTCCAAGGTTTCAGTTCATATCAGGCCTGTAAATGCCCAGAACTGAGCCCATGAAAAACCTTTGTATTGTCCATGACTTGTTTATACATTCACACATTGAATATACTGTGATTGGTCTGCATTTGGTTCACAGAGCATTTATTCTCTTTTGGGGTTAGGGAAAATGATGGTTATAAATATCTGCTGTCAATGTAATATAACAGTTTGGTTTTATTTTTTCAATGCATGCAGTGAACACTTGCTAACACCATTCATACTGTACTGTATCTCTGTCCACAAAGGGCTTTTTTAGCACACTATGACTACCTGTCATTCAGGTAATATAATGTAATGCTTTCTCTTGCAATGTCTCTCAAACTTCTTCTTCCTTCAAACTGTATTGAGTGATGTAGGAAAAGTAAGGCTCCAAAACACTCAGAAGCACATTGTTATGGCTACTAGATGTTACAGTAGCAAACAGTCACCCACTGTTCACCACCGCTGTACACCACATCTGACAGACACTAAACAAGTGCAAATTTGATCACTGGAGTGTTTTTGCAGTCTGTGTTTTTCCTGCTCCATAGGGAAAAATGAACACAGTCACTTGGAAGGTGATCAGAGGCAGACTCGAGAAACTTTTTCAATGACTTTAAAAAAATATGTATATATTTACACAGTGCAACACATAGTACTAGGGATGTCCGATAATATCAGCCCTCCTTTATTATCAGCCGATATTCACTAATAAGTGTAATATCGGGAATTATCGGTATCAGGTCTTTATAACCGATGTTTGTTCTGTAGGCTTCAGCATTTCCGAGCCTGCATGAACGCAGCATGGGACGTTTACCGGCGCGCGCTAGATGACGTATAACAACAACAACTACACACTAGACTGGTTGGTTGCTAACCGTGGCTAACAAGCAAACAATTTAAAACTGAATGATTTTAATATTAACACAAAATAAGTGCAATGCACCTTAAATATTTGACCCTGCTATGAGCTGTTCCTTAACCAAACTAACAATTGGCTTAGAATTTACATTAGCACTCCTTCAGGTGCATAATACTATTAAACACACTAACCAAAGCTAGCTCTTTGTCAGCAATTAGCGCGTAGCTAGCGATTAGCGCTAGCACTCTTTTCAGTATTAATACAATGAAAGTTGAAGTTGTTCTCTTATTTTGCACAGACAGTGTTTACATTTGGAAAGCCATGTTGCATTTATGTATGCATCCAGTGGGGCATCACAATAAAATTAGGCATAATGTGTTAATTCCACAATAGGAGATATCTTATGTTGTTACCTAACAGTTTTGGTGTAAAAAGCCTGCATATATCGGTATCGGGTGATATCGGTATCGGAAATTGAGAGTCGGACAATATCGGAATATCGGATATTGGCAGAAAAGCCAATATCGAGCATCCCTACATAGTACACCTGTAACGAGAGAAAGACAAACAAACAACTAAATGGCAGACCTGGCTTAATTGAGGAAAATGAAATCAATTTAATTGTGATTTCACCGCAACACAAGCATCTGGTAATGTTCCACTTAGGATAGATCAGTTAAGAAACATTTTTTTAACTGCGCTTTTGTGTCCACTCATGTCCTTACATTGACTCTATAAGCCACTGGTTCCCAAACCAGAGGTCAGCTAACTTTATGGGGGGTCACAAGGCCTTCTTGACTTTAAGGGGTAGAAGAAAACTTATAAGAAAGAAAGTAAGTAAGTATATAGACAGTAGGCCTGAATCTCAGCATTTCATTAATTTCTTTGAAGAAAACTAAACGGAACTTCTTAAGTAATTTTGATTATTTAAGATTTAAACTTTTCATAGGATAAGGGCACAGTGAAGAGCTGAACACAAGCTGTATTCGTCGAGCCTTCAGTGTCTGGTAAACAGCCTCGTCCTGCATTAGAAAACACAGAGAAAACACTGAATTTGTATGTGTACAAGTATGTGTGATTGTTAAAAATACATAATACTGGGAATAATATAGTTTAAATATTTTAACATTGTGCCGTCCTTCATGACAGAATCTACAAACAGATGTTATGTAGCTCATCGATCTGATGAATACATTATCTAAAATTATATACATGAAATAATTTTATTTTATTATTTTTAAACAATACAACATCACCATAGCAACATATGGTCATGTGTGTTTCGTCGTGCCGTCATGCCCTTCTGACTTGACTGTTTGTTTGTTTTCCTGTTGTCTGCAAGTTTCTTTTTAGTTTCTGTTTTATAGGAAGTCATTTTTGTTTCACATTAGAAATATTTTCTAATGCTCTTTTTTTTGCTCTGTTCATTTTATGCCATTTTTATGACATTGCAATATTTTACATTTTATGAAAATGGATCCATATGTATTTATTTCATAATGTCTTTATTATTGATCTAATATTGAACATTTCATTCCATACTAAACGTTGGAACATACCCACCTTAGATGATCTGTGGATGCTGTTTTAAACAAGAGCCAGCCGTGTAAGCTTACCTTTGTTTAAGTTTCCCACTGTTCTATTATGTCTCTGTGTGTTTGTCTTTTATTGTGAATCATTTTGTAATGTTTGCTCTAGAGCGGTGCTATATACACAAACTTACACTCACTTTTGCTCACCAACAGCCACGCACTGCGGCAGCTCTCACAAACATGAACACACCAAATGGTAAATGGACCTTTACTTGTATAGCGACTTTCTAGTCTTCCGACCACTCAAAGCGCTTTTACACTACGTGCCACATTCACCCTTTCACACACATTCACTCAAAGTCCATCAAACAGAAACTAACATTCATACACATTCACACACCGATGCACAGCATCGGGAGCAATTTGGGGTTCAGTATCTTGCTCAGGGATACTTTGACATGTGGCGGGAGGAGCCAGGCATTGAACCATTCTGATTAGAGGACGATCCGCTCTTCCTCTGAGCCACAGCCGCCCATCTAAGACAGCTATGATTGCATCATATGACCACAGAAGCACATTGACATTCACAAATAAGCTTACCAGCATCTTTGTAATTAGTCTTGTTGATGGTTTATGTGCAGTGATGTTTAAACTGCTGTGGTTATACACAGCAGTCTTCAGGCTCTGCACTCTCTGTATCGTGGCCTTATAAGTCTATTTAGTCAGTTTAACATAATTATCTAAAGCACAACTGGACTGGAAAAGACTCAGTGATAATAACATAACAATAAGATGCTGCAGTGCTAAGCCTTGGTTTAACTTGAACCTATTGTCCTTACTACAGTTGTGCATGCATGCTATAAACTGTCTAAATGTTTTAAGTTCAATAGAGCAAAAAATAATAGTCGCAATAAATCGCATAAGGTCCTATCCAGAGCCAGTGTTTGGTTTGTCTGTTCTGGGCTACTGTAGAAACATGGCTGTTCAGCATGGCAGATTCTGTAGAAGAGGACCCGCTCCCTCTGTAGAAACTGCTCATTCTAAAAGGTAATGAAAACACAATTCCTATATTCAGGTGATTATACACTAATGAAAACATACCTATGAATATTAGATTCTATTTCTGACAATAGATCCTCCTCATTGTTACACACTGAACTTTAAGTGACCACTAGATGAATTTGAGGTGTCACAGGACGGAAAAGCAGACTAATACTTTCGTGTAGTTTTTTTAGGTTTTCCTTTACCTTTGCTTTATTTTCTTGTGAACTACTGAATCATTTTACGTGTTTTGTGTTCACCTGTACCTGCTTGTTATTGTTTATGAATCCACTGGATTGAAGCACCAAACAGAGTCGTCCATGTTAAATGATTTGTACAGGAATCAGACGTCTGTACCGCACCATGGATTTGATGTTTTTTATGCATTTTTGTCTTCTTAGCTTTGAATGCTAGGTTTCCCTTATGTCACAGGAAAGCACAGTGTTTGGGAGGGCTGTAGAGATTATACATGTATTTCCATTTCTACTTAACCGTCTTTTTGGGCCACTCAAGATGCATTTTAATTCTAGGTGTAAAAAAGGTTGATGGTTTATTAAAAAATTGCTGTTTTTGCATGAAGTGAATATATATAATCTCTTCCTAAGTACATTCACAAAGTAATAACACCAGTTTTTGTAATGATTTATATGACTAATTGTTTTATAGAACTCTACTGTATTGTGGTATGCCATTGTACTGCTGAATTTGAACCTGAACACACCTTGTTGAATGATCATTACTGGTTTACAAAATATAAATGATCAAGAGAAAAATTTGCATGTTAAGACTTTTGTTGTCAAGCAGCGAGTTCTAGCTCACAGTAGGTAGGAGGCTATAATAGAAGTTGTTTGCATGAGTTCCTGTGCAGAAAGTCACCCTGGCTGCTCCTTGATCTCCTCAGATAAGTGATTATTGTATAAAGATACATTTTTTCAACATGAATGCAATAACTTTTTATTCTGTGTCAGTGCACATTTCTGTTGTATAATTAATGTATACACTTTCAATGCTACTATTTACATGTTGATAAGATCAATAAAAACTCCACTTTAAAAGTCCACATTGCAGTCTTTTCCTACAAATTTGAACCATCAGCTCCATTCACCGACGACAAACAATAACTAAATCTACTGTTGATGGCATTCAAGCCATTCAAGCCAACTCAAACATGCTCATTCCAGGTAGCTGGTAATGCAGCCTTGCACAGGTTCTGTAGCGTTATTTTGGACCCTCAGACTCTCTCTTCATTAACCAATTTATCACTTAAACATGTTTTGTTATTGTTGTTTGTAAAATGAATGAACACTGATATAGATGAATATTACATTTCTTTGTCCGTTAATGGTTTTTTTATTGCTCAATGCTTCAAAGAGACTTGCGCTTGCAGATCTTTGTTTATCAAACTATTTTTCCATTTTCCATCATACACGTAAATACATGGAAGGGAAAATAATTACATTCACATCACCTCAACAACTATTTTCATATGTAAAATCATCACTGAAGGCATTAATATAGGTGAATACACTGGTGCCAGGATCAAGCAGAGAATAAGACTTTTTATCCCCTCACTTTCCGGTGTTATGGTAAATGGTAAATGTACTTGTATAGCGCCTTTCTAGTCTTCCGACCACTCAAAGCGCTTTTACACTACGTGCCACATTCACCCTTTCACACACATTCACTCAGTGATGGCAAAGTCCATCGAACAGAAACTAACATTCATACACACTCACACACCGATGCACGGCATCAGGAGCAATTTGGGGTTCAGTATCTTGCTCAAGGATACTTCGACATGTGGCAATAGGAGCCAAGTTCAATTCCAAGTTCAGTTTATTAACTCAATTTGTAACATTTAAAAAAGACTGCTCAGTCTGTGTGATTCTCTAAACAGAGAAAAAAGTGCAAATGATTCACTGGGATGTGCATTTTTATAGACTTAACACAGTAACATTCAAAACTTTTTTTAACTGTAAACATTGGTCACTTGTCAGCTTCATCAGCTTATTCCTTTTCAAAAAGGTATATGACTTTTTAACATTTGGGGTTTTTTTGTGCAAAATTTGCAACAATATTGCTTATATTTAACGTTTGTCTGTTAGATGTTCTGTGAGTTGTTCTTGGAGGTCGTCTGAAATGTCAAATATACGTCTCCCGACCGTGTCACTGGAGAGAGAGAAAGTATTCAGTGTCTCAGCACTTTTCTCACCTATGATTGTGACCATGTCCAATGCTGCCGGAGTATTAGCTCCTCTGCTATTGTGTGATGGTTTTTTGCACCTTGCGATGTGGCGGTGTTGTACGGCGTTTTTATTTACTGATGCCGCGCTCACTAAATGACCGGCCTGTTGGCGATACTCATCGAATATCGGATGAAAAAAGTCCAGTGGCTTATTGACATAACTGGGGTGTAAGGTCTCCAGGTGCCGTCTTAATTTGTTTGGTTTCATGCTGTCTGCTGCCAGAGTTTTTAAACATTAAACACACACAGGTCTTTCCTCATTTCCGACTGTATTCACTGTAAACCCAGGGCTATGTAGGCTATTTCCTGGTCTTATTAAGTTTATGCCGGTTACCGTTACTTGCTGTTCTTGCCTCTGACGCCTCCTCCGTTTTTCTTTTTACTCCTGTCAGAAACTTCTCCATCTCTCCTCCTCCGTCAGTCACCCCTGCCTGTCGCACCCCCCCGACACCTCACTGTTTGAGAAGTACTGACTTAGACGTAACTCCTCCAGCCCGCCATAGCATTATTATTGACATTACACCCGCCATGACAATAATAACAAAGCTACTCTTGAATATAAAAGCAGACTATAATTACCAAATAAATTACCAAATTAACGCATTAACTATCTCGTGTGTAACACAGTAGATATTACTGATTGCTTGGACCAGACTCTAGGTTCAAAGGAGCAGTTTGTAACTAGACCTCAGTAATAACAGACCACAGACCAAGAAGTAAGTTTGAACTGCCGGCTTATTTATATAGAAGAGTTAATAGTGGACATACACTGTTGGCACCAAATCACACACATCATATATAAAAAAAACATACGCTCAATTTCTTGGAAATATTTTACATTAATAATGCACAGATCTCAGGAGATGTGTTATTCCTCCTATTTGAATTAAATCTAGTTGAGTTCAAAATAATTTTCAACTTAGGGTCCTTTAAGTTGTTTTTTAGTCCCTCATTTCCTCATTGAGTTAACTCAGCTTTAAAGGAGTCATATTATTCCCCTTTTTCAGGTTCATAATTGTATTTTGTGGCTCTCCTACAATAGGTTTAGATGTTTTAATGTTCAAAAAACACATTATTTTTCTCATACTGCCTATAGCTGAGCACCTCTTTTCAGCCTCTGTCTGAATCGCTAGGTTTTAGCGCCTGTCTCTTTAAGACCCCCCTCCCGAAAAGCCCAGTCTGCTCTGATTGGTCGGCATTATGACGTGGCTCACGCGGATGACGCTCCGGCCCCTCCCCTTCGTTGCCGGCAGGTAGCTCCTCAGTGCTACTGAGATTAGCTTCATTTCTACCGTCAATATTAATTCAATAACTGCTTCTAAAGCAAAAACTTCACCAGCGGACATGTTAGAGCGGGAGTCTGACCTGAAATCACAGAGAAATGAACAACATCAACAATCAGGATTACAGCTTTCTGTGACGTTTTCCTCAGGTAAATACTGATATATTAATTATATATTAACCTCTATCTATCACATAATGTTAGTGTTTATACCTTAACTATGAGAACCAACATTGTGTTTTATGCTTGTCTTTCCAGGTACAGCAGTGAGCAGTGACCTACAGTCTACACAGCCCAGTGAAGTTAAACATATTATACATTACATAATATTAACAACATTAGTCAAGCAGTTGTTTCTAGTGAAGAAACAGCCAGTAAATGTACCAAAGTAATCAGAGTAATAGTATAATGATTACTGTAAGCTCCCATCTGTTATATTCTTTATACACATTAGTTTACTGAGACCATGGAAACAGAAACCTGGAATACTTTATCCTGTACAACATGTCAACATAACTGAAGGAATTACTCATCTAATAAAGCAACTTGTTCATGTGGTTTAAAAACTGCTAAGTAACCAACAGTTAACTGTACTGTATCCATATTTCATAGTCTGATATTTGAACTTAAAAGTATTATTACCAAAGTTAACCTTCAGATATTTGTAAAAGCCGCAATTATGTTTAAACCCCATTAAAAATACTGTATACTGAATATTCTATCATTTATATTATATACTGTATTATGATGTCATTTATCTTCCAACATAATAAAGTTTGAATGTGAGACAGTAATGTATTGTGTTACAGGTTTAAATTTCACATTTTCATATTGATAGATGTTACACGAACCAGGTTTTCAACTCTTGTACATCCAGGAAATCTTCATAAAACCTCTGTGAAATAACATGTTATTTATATAAAACCACACTTATTACTGAATTTAAAAATGACCAAAACTCTTCTTAAAAGTAAAACACTTTATTTATGTTTCATTCATATTCCAGTTACACATGTTGTAAGTAACAAAGCTATAACTTTTATGTAAACTGTGCAGACCGTGTCCTTCATCAAGGTATCTTAGGTTTCTAGTATACTGAAGTGTGAGCTGGTAATGGAGCTCTGCTGTCAGTGTTCATCTTGATGTGTCTTCCTTTGGATACCCAGACTGTCCTGATGCTGCAGCTGTCTCTGTCCTCTGATGGGTCCAGGAACACCTGAGCTTCATCAGGTCACCTGTAAGATATGGCTGATTCAGTGTTACTTGTAAGGCAGCATATAATATACAGTATAATATAATATACAGTATAATATAATATACAGTATAATATAATACAGTATAATATAATATACAGTATAATATAATATACAGTATAATATAATACAAGTACAACAGCTCATTGTGGCTCAAAGTAGTCCTAAGTTATAAAATAAAATAATAAAGCAGTGTCTCTGGTGGTTCCTTGTTGCAGCTAACTGTAGTGATGTGTTGTTGAAACAGTCTGAGGTTACCAACACAATGTCTATCTAATGGCAGCAGATACACACACACAGGACATTTACTGACTGTAACTGATGTTGTGACAAGTTCTCGGTGCAATAACAGACATTTAGCAGTGAGCCTCAGTGTTGTTTAATATACAATAGGAGATGATACTAGTATGTTACACTGGACCTGCCCTTATATCTTCAGTAATACCAGTACTGCAATAACGCTAAATAAATGGATCAGGAAACTTTTATTAGTCGGTTTGACTCCACATAAAGCCTAGTGAGCATCGAAGTTACACAATATTACTAAACTAATGAATCCCTGCAGTTTGACTATTTCTCTCTCACAGTAGCTCTATCGTTAACTCCGGTGCACGTAGATCAAGTTAATTTACACACGTAACACACACACACACACACACACACACACACACACACACACACACACACACCTGAACGAAGCAGAGAAACAACAAAGCTAGTGCTAGCTGAGATAACGTTAGCACGTCAGTATAAAGTTACACAATAATCATCATAACTCACTCTCTGTATTCTGTTAGCTTCTAAGGAGGCTTGATCACAGTCTGACTATTTCTCTCTCACGGTAGCTCTATCTTTACCTCCGGTACATTTACACACACACACACACACACACACACCTGGCTCCAGAATAACAAAGCTAGCGCTAGCTCAGCGAGCTAGCAGCTGATGAGCAGCTACAGTTTGTTCACTCGGAGGTTTTCTGCTCTTTCTAACAGCGACACAAACATATTACTGACTGAGCACTTTAACTCAATACAGACCAACATAAAGACAATTACCCCCGACACAAAACACACAACAGCATAAACTTATAATAAACTTTGTGTGAATCTCTATAAAAAATATCAGCAGGGGAGAATATGGAGACATCTGCACCAGCTGGCTTAATAAATGAACTTCACCTTATAAGTTTCATGTTCATCTTGCACACATTTAACAAACATTTAACAAACAATAACAAACATTTAACAAACATTTAACAAACAATAACAAATATTTAACAAACATTTAACAAACAATAACTACGTTAGCATCACTGAGGCTCCTGCAGCTAACAACGGTTAGCATGTTCTAGCGGTACACGAACAATGAAAAACAGCATCAATTCTTAAAAATACTTACAGTGACTTCCTCTGCCGTCTCTCCACAGACAGTTGGTACAATCCACAGTGACTTCCTCTGCCGTCTCTCCACAGACAGTTGGTACAATCCACAGTGACTTCCTCTGCCGTCTCTCCACAGACAGTTGGTACAATCCACAGTTAATGGCGGAGCTCCGATAGTCAACAGGAAGTAAAGAGAGGTGGGTGGCAACAGGCAGAGCATGTGACGTCACAAACTACACACTTCTGAACCTGCGTGATTTATCTCCTATATTCTGACTGAGGCAGCTCACAAAAACATGACTGAGTCATTTTTTTTCACCCTTTGCCTGCTGATAGGCCCTCCAGAGTCCCAAATGTACATAATCGAATGATTAAAGAGTTGGTTTTGCATAATATAATTGCATAATTAATAATTGCATAATTATTAATTGCATAATTAATAATTGCATAATGAAGTTTCCATTTTATCTTCGTAAGGCCTATCTTAAGAGTTTTTGTCTCACCTTCTCTTTAGTTCACTTAACCAATAGGTTTTTGGTTTACAAAAGAAAAAAAACCATTTGTATCACCAATTCGGCAAAATAATGGAAATTACAATACCACAAAATACAGATTTGGAACACAACTTCACAAATCAGCAATGACCTACAACTTAATCTCACAACTCTAAATTAGTCCCTTTGTTAAGTCCTTTAAGAGTCCAGATGAGCTTCACTGCACACTGCAGCAAAATAATAAAGTTTCAGTCCTACCACGATTCAGGTGAACGAATCAGTGTTTCTGAATATATGTTGGTCTTGTGGAAACAGATCCGTATCCGACGCAGTTTCTCCTACGGGTGTTGCGATATTCTATGATTTATACTCTATATATTTACCTGTATGATTATTAACTAGAATAGAAATATGTTTACTTGTGCTTACATTGATTATGCTTACATTGATAAAGGGCTGTTAAGGGAGTACTAATAACAGAAATAAAGTAATGAATATTAGATGTTTGTATGATGTGTTATAGAATTGAAACTTACTAATGAATATGAATAGCAGACACAGTATAAGGGAGAAGAGTGTGGGTAGTTGCAGATATAACATGACATTCTTTGGGAGAGATAGCGGGGAACACGGCAAGGTCAGTATCAGGAGCTCCTAAAAACAATAATAGAACCCAGGACCGCCATCTTCTTTCCCCGCTCCACCTGCATAAACACCAAGCAGCTCCTCACGACAAAAAACCTGGCCTGTTTCACAACAGGGCAATACACATTCACACAGTTTAGTCTTATATCTTCAACAAAATTACCCGAGGAGGACTAGCACCTAAACACAGGCTAAATGTTAAATTAAATCAGAACCGCACCATAAAATGGCGGCGGCGTTCGTCTCCATTCACCAACAAGGCTCAACTTGACCATGCCTATTGCACGTAGATATTTTCTTACACAAATAAACCCACAAAATACACAACATAATTCACATTTTCTTAGTTTAGCTGCTGGCACGTTATGCTTTTCACTCACCAAATCCTTGTTCAAAGCAACAAAAACAGAATCCAGCGATGTGGACCAAAAAGCAACAAAAAATGGAAAAGAATTTAGGTTTTACAGTCTTTTTTTCACTCTTTTATCTCAGTCTCTCCTCACTCGGTTTTCGGACTTCTCTGTTGTTTTACTTCTCACGGTCTACTGCTCTCACTCTGTTTTTTCTCTCTCTCCAGCAGGCGGCGCTAGAATCACTCTGATTGGCTGTTACCGCTGCACTTATTAAAGGAGTAGCACACAAAATAAACTAACAAAAATGACTTACTTAATGCCTAATGTTATTTATTTGACTGCTTCACATTTATTGTTTGTTTACCCTTTTATTGGTTTTCAGGTAATATTAACCTGGGTTACCTTGGCCACGCGTTATAATCTCATGGCCACGAGATAGTTAATGCATGGCCACGCATTTTTAACATTTTTTTTATCCAATGTCACCAGGGGGGCTCCGTACAAAGCCATTTCATTGAAAGTTATATAAAATTAGCTATTGACCTCTAGGATAATCACAGCCTCATGAAACAATAAACCACAAACTAGAGAGCGGGGGTGTCCAGAAGATGGATGGCTTTCCTACATATATTGACACCACTGATATACTATATTGTAGTTGTACAAAACTGTAAGCTAGGCTGATATTGAAAGGAATTTGACATGACTGAATGCACCCCCACCTTCCAAACTCATTGTGGCAGCACTGGGTGAACGTTAAATTGGTTCTGTGTTCTTTGTTATAGTTTTCATTGTCTTGCTCAATATTTCATACAATGCATGCAAATTATGGAGCCAGAACGGTGACTTTAAAATTTGGCATCCAAAAAAAAAAAATTGGCATTGAAAACAAAACCAGTACTGAAAAAGGAAACATTGGCATTGAAACATTTGTATTGAAAACAGTTGTATTGGCATTGAAACAAGTATTGGCACTGAAAAAAGAAACTAATTAAAATGCGTGTAACTAACATAGACACAACACAATACATTATATGCATACTGAAATCCTTGTATTATATTATTTCATTTAACCTTTATTTAACCAGGTAAAATCCCATTGAGATTAAGAACATATTTGTTGTTATATGAACATAGCCAATGCATATAAAAATAGTCAATTAGTGAACAGAAACATTTATTTTATAGGGGAAAGAAACAGAAAAAGCTGTGTGTGGGCGCATGTGGAGCCTTTGCTCTATTATTTTACACTCTTACATCAGTAGGAGCCCAACCTAACTCACTCTTGGTGTTTTGCGTTAATCTGGTGGTGGTGGCCTGGGATGGGACTCTATTTTCCATTTATCATAACAAAAGAAAAAAAATCGAAATATAAAAAAGTAGGGCTGTCAAAATAACGCGTTAATTTCGATTAATTAATTTGAGAAAAAATAACGGATTAAAAAAAATAACGCAGATTAATCGATTCTGTATTGGCCTTTGATCCGGAGCCGTTCTAGTCAGTCACCACCATTAGACTGTACAATGAAGGAGGGAGACGCGAACGCGCTGCCTGGATCAATGATTGGATCATTGACTTATAAAAAACGGCCTGATGGAAGTGTTGATAAAAAGAAAGTCCTCTGCAATGTCTGCAGCAAGGAATATGCATATCGTCAACTCTAAAGTACCACATCAATGCAAATGCATCTACGAACTAGCACGTCCCGTGATACCAACTCTAGCAGTCAACCTCATCCTCAACCCACACTGAGCAAACACTGAAACGTAAACTTAGCAAATCTGTATGTGACCGACTGAGCAATTCCCTCCCTAAATGGAGCGCAATGTCCTGCAGGCCACCAGGCGGACACCAGGCATTACGCCGATGCCTTGTGGCGGAGGGATGGGGAGTTCAACAAAAGATCACCACAGTCGGCACAGACAGCGCCCGAAACATGATTGCTGCCGCGAGAAAGCTTCCATATGAGCACATGCCTTGTGTTGCTCATATGTTACAGAGAAGCATCACTGTTGGCCTCGCAGACAGTGGGTTTTGTGACGCATTGGCAAAGTGTCGTAAGATAGTGGGACATTTTAAACATAGCCCTGCCAATACAGAGGAGCTCCCCCAGCAGCAAAATCAACTTGGGCAACTGACAGAAAGTCTGATTCATTCCCACAAGATGGAACTCGTCACTCGCCATTATCTCTCGTCTCCTGAAGAACCAGGAGGCTATCAAGGCTACACTGAGCAGACAGAAGCACAAGCTGACAATGTTGACTACATCTGAGTGGGACAAACTTCAGAGGCTGGAAACCATCCTTGAACCATGCAGGTAAAAGCTTACACACACACACACACGTCTTTTTTTATTTACTGTGAAGAAATGTACTGTAGGCTAGTCTAATACTATGGCACTGATTTAATAAATGTACTGTGTGCATCTCTTATCATCCGCTGCAGATATGTGACTGAGCTCCTTGGAGGTGAGACTGATGTTTCTTGCTCTGTGGTGTTGCCTGCTCTCTGCCACCTGTACCGCACAATGGAAGTCTACACTGGAAAATTCAAGACTGCCTTTAAAAAGGACCTGTCTGAACGGCAAGCAAACCCCAACAATGGATGGCTCAACATAGCTTCAGCACAGGACCCACGCTTCAAGGACTTGAAGTATCTTCAAAAAGGAGACAGAGAAGAGGTGTGGACCAGCCTTCAGGTACTGCTGTGAAATAAACCCAGTACGTTTACCCCAGAGCCTGCAGAAGAGCCACCGAGAAAGAGAAGCCTCCTGCTCTTTGCTTCAGACACAGACTCAGATGATGACACAGTGGAATCAAGCAAGGCTCTGAACCACTACAAAGCAGAGCCCAACATTAGCATGGAGGAATGCCCGCTGCAGTGGTGGACAACTCATGCAGGAGCCCATCAACAGCTGTCTGTCCTGGCTCGCAAATATCTGGCTGCCCCTGCCAGTTCTGTCCCCTGTGAGAGACTTTTTTCACTTGCAAGGTAACATAAAAAAAAAAGAGGGCAGCCTTGAGCTCTGAGAATGTAGAGAAGCTAGTTAGTCTCAGTGACTGGCTGAAGGAGAAGTAGAAGTGAGGCAGATGTGTCTGACTACAACTGAAAATGAGAAATTGTTGCTTTTTGGGGGTGAAATGTGGTAAAAGGGGCTGATTTTTTATTGAAGGTTTATGTTCAATTACAGAAAAAGCCCTGGAATTGATATTGCACTATGTTAAACTTTTGGTCTCTGTTGCCTGAGTTTATTTATGGCACATACAGGAGGAACAGTGTTGACATTGAGGGGAGTGTTCATTTATTTTCATTGTGTCCTCTCGGTTCTAATTGTGGCCTGAAATGCCTTCTATGTCTTCCTGAGAGAGTTCTGAATTTCTTTCCTCAGCGTATTAGGTCATATTGTAGATTGTTATGGCCATTATTTGAACAGGGAAAATAATAATAAAATAGTTTTTGAACTTTAATGTCACTAATGCGGATTATTCATTGATTCATTTGAATTGAAATATTTAAAATACTTTCACAGCAAAAAATATATACGCGATTAATTTAGATGAATTAATCACAGAGTATGTAATTAATTAGATTACATTTTTTAATCAATTGACAATAAAAAAGACAAAAACAGGTCTCAAACGAAACTAAAGAATACGGAAAGTAACGTGCATTCGGGTACCGTAGTATTAGTCGCATTGCATTCTGGTACTAGTAGTGTGTTTCTGATCTCCCTCTATTGTGGTCGCTGCAGAGCTCCTCCGTACTATGATGTCTGCGGGCAGCTCAGGGTCTCACACAGCGGAAAATGGAACCGGAGGTTTGGAACTCAAACATTGCACACTGACACTTTTTACTGTGTTCAACCACATTAGCTAAGATAGCCGTCTTGCTAGCTAACGTTAGCATGCTAACCAGCTCATATTCTATCGCTATGTAACGTTAACTGACGTTATTAACACTGTTGCTGTCACATAGCTTATTCGCGGCATTATATGAAGCCTTGTTTGTCCACTCAGGAAACAAGAGGACACCGTGTCCGTTCCACGGCTGTAAGCGGGTGTATTCAGACGGCAGCGCTCTGCAAACACACATCAACGACCATGAGATCTCCGCCCAGTCTCTTCCTGGTGAGCTCCCAGTAGAGTGTGTGTGTGTGTGTGTGTGTGTGTGTGTGTGTGTGTGTGTGTGTGTGTGTGAGGCTGATTCTTGGCCTGCTGTGTGATCCTACTGAGTACGTTACAGAGCCAGACTGAGAACATCCTGATTGTTTTTAAATTGCAGATTTGGATTGTGGCCTTGTGAAGGCCCTGTTGTCATTGAAGGAATACTTTTTCCTTTTCCTCCCAAACGAACACATATTTGAAACATGCTCAAAAACTCATGAAACTTGGCGCACATGTCAGTTGTGGTGAAAAAAGTAGTTTTTTCTAGGGGCCCACTATAAGCATGGCAAAATGGCCCATCAGGGGGCCCATAAACTGTACCTCCCAGGGCCCCTTTCACCAATATGCATACAAATCGACACACGCATAGATCCTAGAGAAAAAAATCCAGTGGGCGCCATATCCCAAACCCAACAGGAAGTCTGCCATTTTGGATTTAGCGGCCATTTTTGGCGATTTGAACACGTATTCGAATGAACTCCTCCGAACGAATTGATCGGATCGACGTCAGATTTGGACACAGCCAACTAAAGACATTCACGATTAAAAGTTGTGCTTTTGGGGCAGCAGTTGCTCAGTGTGTAGGGACTGTGTGTAGTCGCCGGTTCAAGTCCCTCCGACCACAAAGTATGGAGTGTGGACTGGTAGCTGGAGAGGTGCCAGTTTCACCTCCTGTGCACTGCCGAGGTACCCTTGAGCAAAGCAACCTAACCCCAAAACCTGCTCATGGGGCGCTGTTAACGTTGCAGCCCCATCACTCCACCATCTCTATCCCTGTGGGGAAGTGTGTGTGTGTGTGTGTGTGTGTGTGTGTGTGTGTGTGTGTGTGTGTGTGTGTGTGTGTGTGTGTAAAAAAAAAAAAAAAAAAAGAGTAAAAAGAACAGCTTCCCCTTGGGGATTAATAAAGTCATCATCTTATGACATTCCATCTAACCCGACTCGCCATGAAAGAGGGAGTTGAGTTGTTCTGCGTACATGATCCATCTGTATCGTATCGGCCTCAGAAACCCCATATCAGTTGGACTCAGTCATTTCATCATCATCATTCTGCTTTGAGCTTATCAGCCTGATTCTGTATTGTTTCCTGTATTGATTCCTTCTGTCTAGAAAAACATAGGCCTCCACAGGTTTAACAGCTTCAATACAGCTGTTTTAATGTCTCTGAGACTGAACACAGTGTAGAAACACAATGGGAAATGGCATCGATTGGGAATCAAATTGAAGCTCCACTGTTTAACCATTGTTTAGTCTGGAACGGCTTTGCGAGTCCCATCCCTGGAAATGATCAAATATTTGTACATCATTTGTTTTCATGTAGTCGGTGAGAAAATGTGCCAAGCCTGCCTGTGTGGCACTAAACAGGATATTTACCCTTGATAACGGATGTGCTGCTCGGTTGGGAAGCAGTGGCACTCGTGCGTTAAGTGTCAAACACATGAAATGCGCATCAGCAAGGCGTGACGTTTCAGCACATTGCTGGTGTTTACACTTTTATTGAACTTATCATGTGACAGACATTACAACTTCATTTGTGAAATGAAGCCATGCTTTGGCCTCCTTGTTTCCACGTTTCCAGCAGCGCAGTAGAGACACAAGTTTGATGTCATTCTTTTGCAAATTTGCAAAATTGATAAACTTGGAAGCATAAAATTCCAATGGATCGGACAGTTTGGAACCAGTTCTCAAATGGAACCAGGCCATACAACAATAATAGCAATCATACAGGCTTAGTAGTATATTCTTGTATATTCTCATATGAATGTGCAGTATGTATATATCAAGACATGATCTCTACTAAAAGTCAAACCTATAAGACTAACTGGAGAAAACAGAGGGGGATGATGGAGACGGGGGGGCTCTCAGCTGAATGTGTGTGTCCTCTCTTCAGGAAAGGTCTTGCTCTGCTCTACGGTCGGCTGCAGTGGTTCTTTCCCCAACATGCTGAAACTGATGGAACACATGAGGCATCATCACAAACCCAACATATTCTTCCTGTGAGTTGCTGTTTATGTGCTTTCCCTGCACACTCAGTTTGTATTCATTAGTTGGGAGTTTTGTAACGTTGTCTTTTCCTCAAGGTGTGAGAGCTGTCGCACAAAGTTGCGATCCTACCGTGGCCTCCTGACTCACCTGCACACCTGTTCCAAAGTGCCACGGGGCAAAACAAAGCCCACTGAACTGACTGCCCCTGTGCCTGCCGCTGTGACCAACCCAAACATGACCCCCATGGACATGGACCAGAACCCCCCACAGCTGGACTCGGTGTCTACACCCCCGCAACTACCCTTTCAGAACCCAGACGGTTCCTTGTCTGCTGCCGTTCTTCAGCCAGACTCTGCTGCTCCTCCTGTCCTCGGTCCCCCCTTCTTGCCTAACCCGGAGACCTCCCCTCCCCAGTTTGGTCCTCAACAGCTCACAGAGGCAGCTCCCCAGCCTAAGCTCAGGAATGAAGCCTCTGACCTGCCTATATCTCTGAACCTAATTGGCCCAACAGCAGCTCCTGACCCCTCTGATGCCCAGGGTCAGCACCAGACACTGACCAGGTCTCCTGAGCCCATTTACCCTGGTCCAGGATCAGCTCCTCAGTCTCATCCTGGGTCCTCGGCTGTCTGGAAGAAGAATCAAGGTGAGCTTCTCCTCACACTAAAGCCTTGGTCACACTACGTGACTTTCAAAGTGGTCAGATCTCTGTACTGTTCACACTACACAACTTCCTGTCTGAGCTCTTGGTTTTCAGACTGTGTGACTGATCAGCAACAGGGGGTCACACTCTGCAAGATCTTTCACTAGGAGTAATCCCAGAGTGTGTCTGCTCTCCAAACTATGTTTCATCAATAGTCATTAATAACAAGCACATCATGTTTAATTAGGAAAGTAGTTTAAATACACATACAAAGGGCAACCATTTACAGCATACTGCCATTAGAAACTGAGAACAATTAGCTGATAATTATCCTGGTCATCCAGCATCAGTAATCAATACACACATTTGTAAAGCCTTAATCAAACTAATAACTAAAAGCAGTCATCATCAGACAACCTTATCATAGTGTAGTGTTTCTGTAGTGGAGACAAAACATTAACAATGATCCATATAGGCAGTTTGAATTCCATTAAAAGATCCCTGCACCAAACTCCCTTTAAGAAATATCACATTTGAACAATTCCTAACGTGTCTGTAACAACATGTAACTCTACAAACATGAGTCTGTTGTAGCTGCGCTCTTTCAGTGGCAGAAGCCTGTGGCAATGAGAGGCGGAGTGAAATTTCTCAATAAAATAAGTGCTGTTTGGTGGATCAGATACATGCTGAATTGAACACTGGCTCATAACACTGTCTATTATGTGTGTGTGATGGTAACTACACACACACACACAAAGTAACTAAACTGTCTGGTACTGGAGAAAAACTGCTTTCACTGGCTGTAGCTTGTTGCATGGCTCCCCAACACCACCAGATATTTAGTCCACTGATTGTGTCTTTGAACAGTTCACACATAGTGATCGTCCTCATGGGAGTGAGCGCTGATCTGCCTCCGATCTGGGGGCATTTGTTCCAATCTTCGAAAAGTGGTAAAACAGGGCCTAAGTCATATAGTGTGAACTCAGCATAAAGCACACAGCTGTAACCTGCCAGATGTGGGCACGCATTTACTTCATCAGTTCAGTTCTCTTTAAACATTAGTGTTTTATTACAAAAAGAAACTTTCCAATCTAAATAGATCTATTGTCCTTTTTTTTCTTGGTATTTGTAAGATGAATGTAATCAGTTAAGAGTACGCCACAATGAGCAGCTAACAGTTATCAGTTATCTTTATTGGTGCAGAGATGCAGTTTAAAGCTAGTAAGAGGCCCTTGAGTTAACATTGTTCTGTCAAACTGCGATTTTCAAGGTGACATGGATTTTACCTGATGAAGGTCTAAGGACACCGTTAATGAAGAGAGTACTAGTGATCAACTGAGACTTTCTGTTGTGCAAGAACTTTGTTGTATTATAGCAGTTTAACAGATGTCTCTGCAAACTTGCACCTTGCTCAGATGCAACAGAGACATAGTTGATAACAGAAACTTGTGACTTTTTCCCCCGGCTTTCAACCTCCGTTACAACTTACTCAATTTTGTGATGCTCCTACAAAGATTGATAGCTCAGTTACAATTGCAAAATCTATGCTGAATGTAAATCAAAATGTGGAACCTACAGGTGTTGTGAACCTTTGTCTTTTGATAATGCCATAGGTTGGTCATGGAGAAACAACTTGAATTTGAAATGGATATATGCACTTCCTTTGGTCAGACATTAACTTGTCATTTCACCCATTAGGTATGGCCTGCAACAGACGCATCCTTTGGGAGCACACTAGAGGGCGCTACACATGTGTGCAGTGTGGCCACTCAGTAACCAACCGCAAAGAAATGACTCAACACATCAGCAGTTATCACAGTGGTAACAAACCTGCAGAAGACGCAGGGAGCTCTGCCACGAACACATAGTGTAGAAGAAGACTTGCACACTGTACCACATGCTCTTTGTTGTCTTCAAGAACTGATGGAACACTGAGAGTGAGGTTCCTGTACAATAGACCGTTATTCTGAGTGAAGAGATCTGATCATTTGTTAGTGTGCTTCAAATTTTTTTCCATTACTTTGTCTATTTATAAAGCACTTAACTCAGCTCCCAGGCACACAAGGGCATCTGATATTTAATCAAATGTGTCATCCACACTAACATTAGAAGAGACTATGGATGCCATTTTCCATACATTCGAAGCTTTTATCAAGGTTTTTGAATGAAAGTGTTGCTTGGATGACCAAACCTGTACCTGGTTAGTCCAGACAAATCGGATTTATCAGTAGATACACTAACTGTCAGGTGTGCTGGATCCCAGTCTGTTCCCTGTCTTTGTGTGTCAATTTGGTCAAAACATTTGAACTTTTCAGCAACTCAAGTTATGGATTACATGAGGGCACTGAAAAGGCCGAATGCTAACAAATATAAATATATTCCGTTTTGTAAAATATAAAATTCCTGATTTCCAGGATTTTTCATGGTGTTTGGAGCAATCAGCCAGTGCAGAACCAAATGTTTGGCAGTGTGTGTGAGCGAAGTACAACGTGTGACTAAACGCACACTCCTGCGCAGAGCTGCCTCCACACCTCCACACCACAGGCTGCAAAACAGCTGACAGCAACTGAATAACATTGCAGTTTTAGCAAGTGCTATGCATTCAACTTGTCTGGAATCATTTAGCAAAATAATAGTAGAAATACCAATTCCAAAAATGAACAGTCATGCCGTGTATCATTCGAGTGTCGATTTAGAATTCAAATGTCAACACTATCAATGAAGCTTTGAATTATTCGGTACAGCCCTAATTAATTAATTAATAAGGACACGCTGTATGAAGTTGTTGCTGTCAGATGTTTGACCTGCAAATTCCAGGTGGAAACTGTTTTGTATGCTAATAATGTGAGTTCACTTAATGCCATCAGGGCCTCTCTCAGCTGACAGCTGTGAATCAATTGTATGGTGAAATGTTTGAAACAGATTTTCACTGCATTAGAAACTGTGCTGTAACTCTGTTCTCCATAGAAAATGCCACTGCTACCGTAGCTCTGGGTGCTATGTAGTAGGTTGTGCATTGGACACAAACAACCTGTGTCAAAGTTGTATTCGCCGCACATGGATAACACGTGTTTGAACTGCTGCAGATGCTTCACTTGTGTAAACCTGCGTCTTCAGTTTTATTTTCCTTTAGAACAATGTTGTAGAATGAAGTTTAGATATAGTTCCCTTTAAGCTACTGCCAACAGTCATAAAATAAAAATAATTTGAATTAAAGGCTGGTGTTATTAATATTGCAGAAAACAAGGTTTATGATATACGTTTTGTTCAGGACATGCCCTTCTAAATAACTGAAAAACTTTTCACCACAGTCTTTATATTTCACTGACTCAACTTGAAGCCAGGGCCTATGGAACCATTGTGCCACCCCCATAACCATATCACATGTAAATTTTGATACTTCTGTTTGCCAAGTTTTGTGTGTTTTCAAGCATGTTTAGCCCCTCAAAAATGCATCATTTGGGGAAAAAAAATAAATAATTCCTTGTATTACAATAGAGCCTGGGCACTGGTCGCTGCTCAGGCTCTATGCAGTCTTTATTCTTTATTTTTATGCAGTTTTTATTTGGATCAGTCAGAATGAGTTGATACAAGCACTTGACTGTTCAGAGTGCCGAGAGATTCTGGTCTGCTCAGGCTACCCTCCCTGCCTCTGTACATCCATACATGCTCCTGAACAACCACCACCACCACCACCACCACCACCACCTGACCCCTTCCTTTTCATTAGCATTACATGCCCGCCAGGCAGTGAGCTTTACAATAATTAACACACCAAGACAATACCACATAACAAGAGGTCCCACTTGCTCATTATCCTGTGTATTATTAGACATTATCACATGCAGACTGAAGTGCTGTTTTCAACAAACAAATCTCATCACTTAGATGAAGTAGTCACTGTCAATAGATAATCTATATAAAAAAAACATGGGTGGGGTTGGAGGGGGCTTTCACATTGGTCTGTCATAACATTACTCAGACAGGTTGTCTGACAGCATGAGCCATCCTCCTGTCATTTTTTATACATTTGGGTTTAAAAATGCATTTATGCCCCATCTCACAGTCTTACAACCCTATACTTTCAATCTGTAAATTTCTGTTAATAAATCAAAATCTGCTGGAAATTAACTGAAAACTAATGCGCTTTTATTTCACGTGATGGCAGGTTGTTAATAGAGGGGGAAAAAAAGATAGTAAACAAGTGCATACAAAAAAAGATTAAGTGCCGACTGTCCAACCCCCAGATCAGGCAATGTTGATTTTTTTAGTATCACAACTTTGTTCAGCTCAGTTCTCTTGAGGCTTTAAAAAAATCTCTTCTGGTCAACTGCGTACATCTTCCCTGCTGGAAGCTTCCGGAAAAATAAACTGTTGCCTCTGCTCATGTTGCCCTGGAATAGAGAGGAAACAAGTGTTTAGTAGTGGTTGGTGTTACAGTATACATGTAACAAAAGGCCAATGGTTTTCTGCGTTGTATGTTTGAATTTAGTAAAAAAATTATTGTTTAATGCTCAAGGAATATGGGCAGAATACTTACTATGTAAGATTCTAAAGCTTTTTATATATTATTTTTGTGTGTGAATCACTTTTTATTGCCAGTGAGTAAACATGTTGTAAGGTAACTTAAAAAATAAGGCCATCACTGACTTTCTCTGTTGCCTGTGGACTGCTTTATGTGTTTCTGTGTTGGGATGAGGGTCAGATTCGCGCACTCCAGAGTGCTTTCTCTCTCCTCTTCCCTACAGTGTGCAACACTAGCTTATAAATGGAGTCCGCTAACGATGACAACACAAAGTCCCAAGTCAAAGTTAACATTACTGCACAGCTTGTGGAATATACTGTCATATTGCGACTTTAAATATACTATTGGCTAGCTTCATCCAGACTCCTGAGGCTGATCTGGATGGCTTACTGTTTGCACATTACTTTGTCAGCTAGCTTTGCGAGGTGGCCGGTGCAGGATAACGTTATTCAGCACTGTGTTTGGAGCATGAGAAACAGACTGCAGTTCACGTAACGGCCACTGGTGGCACTGTTAACAACTGTTTTGTGGTGGTTTGATACAGTTTGGTATGATGTATTTACCTCTCTGCTTAGATGCCTCCAGCAGTCCACCCAGGTGGGATATACTGATGCATAGGGTGCCAGGCCTCCGGCGAGCCTGCGGGGACAGTGGAAATATGAGTCTGCTTAATCTTACACTTACGAGGATTTACAACAGCAGATAACTTGCAAACTCACCCGCAGTTATTGACAGCCATGAGGTTTGACACCAAGACAAAAGGGTATGTGAGCATACTGGCGAAGAACTGGAAGAAGAGAGCAGGAGAAGAACATGATCAAACTACAAGCTAAAAACACACTGTATACTGCTGGTGCAGACGGCCATGTTTGTCAGACTCACCCCTGTCACTGCCTGAGAGCAGTTCTTGATTTCTCCTGTATGACTCATCTGTACAGAAGAACAGATTACCATTGTTAATTCTCTATCTGAGCCTAGAAAAGACGATGTCAGTTCTAAGTAGTTCTGTGTCAGATTTTAGGGTTGTGGTGGGAAAATAAAGGCCTGGTAAAAAAAAATCCTGTATTGGACAGCCTCTACTTTTAACAAAAGCTGCTACCAGCTGCCCAATCAGAAGTCTGATCAGTGAAAGTTGATAACAGAAAAATGGGCTAGACTTTTTTGTTGAAGGATGTGTAAATACTGTTTCAGAGGTAGGTAAACAACGTTTCAGTACATTTACCCCCCCACTACAGCCATAACACAACCTGTAAGTAAAGGTTTCCTGACAGGTGTATTACAGCCCTTAAACCAAACCCCTACATACAGAATACAGAACCTGTAAGTGGACTGGGAGGTGTGAAAAAAAGTGGCATACCGAGTCATCAATGGCATATGTATTGATGAGGTGAGCCAGAAGGTTACAAATCCACAGAGACAGGACGTCACCAAGCAGGCGAGGAATCAGCCCACTGAAAAAACAACAAAAAAATGATTTGTTGTCATTATTTAACAGTGCAAGTCAAGGTTTCAGTCCAGTTTGCCACTGAACCTGTTCCCACTTAGGCTGTGTACAGTACTGCATCAGTAAACTGTTGCATGCAATGGAGTCACTGCCTGTCTTGTACAAACAATACAGTAGATTCATTTGTTACCACACATGCCTGCACTCAACATATTGTTTTGGCTCCTAATATCCGGGACACACAGGAAGCCAAAGGTCAATATTTTGTTTGCACATGACATCACGTAACTGCGTTCCTACACTGCTGAACAAAATCTTAAGACCGGGGGAACATAACCAGGTTGTTAGTAGAGCTTTAAAATGCAAAAAGAAGAGAAGAGCAAGAGACAAAAAAAATAGAGTAGGCAATTTATTGAAAACTGCATTTAAACTCAAACATCATCAGCTGATCAAAAGTTTAGGACCATAGCCTTAAAAAGTCAAAATCTGCAAAAATCTGGCTTTCATGTCATTTTCTATCAGGCATTCCCACTGTCATGACCCCCTGATGGCAAAGGCAAAACCTCTTTCTGTCTTTGAACGTGGCAGGATTGTTGAGTTGCACAAGAAAGGCCTCTCGCAATGCGCTATCGCTGCTGAGGTTGGACGCAGTAAGACAGTCATTTTAAATTTCTTAAAAGGTCCTGAGGGTTATGGGACAAAAATGTCAAGTGGTAGACAGGCCGATCCTCGGCCAAAATTAAGGCCCTTACTGATGCTGACTGTAGCCCAATAACCATCAGACGGCATCTGCGACAGAAGGGCTTCAAAGGCCACGTCTCCTCCCACGCCACAAACTTGCCCATTTGTTCTTTGCAAGGGAGCACCAAACATGGGACATTGAAAGGTGGAAGAAAGTTTTATTCTCTGATGAGAAAAAATGTAACCTGGACGGTCCTGATGGCTTCCAACGTTACTGGCATGACAAGGAGATCCCACTGAAGATGTTTTCTACACAACACAGTGGAGGAGGCTCCATCATGATCTCGGGTGCTTTTTCCTTCAATGGAACAATGGAGCTTCAGGTTGTGCAGGGGAGTCAAACCGCAGCTGGCTATGTGGAGATGTCTCAGCGGGCATCCCTCTTGACTAAGGGGCCCTCGTCTGTGGGGTTGATGATGGTCTTTCAACAGGACAACGCTACAGTTCACAACGCCTGCCTGACGAATTACTTCTTCCAGGAGAATAAAGTCGCTCTTTTGGACCATCCTGCGTGTTCCCCTGATCTAAATCCCATTGAGAACGTTTGGGGATGGATGGCAAGAGAAGTTTACAAAAACGGATGTCAGCTCCAGACCGTGGATGCCCTTTGTGAAGCCATCTTCATCACATGGAGCAACATTCTCACCAGCCTCCTGGAAACAATTGCATCAAGTATGCCTAAACAAATTTTTGAAGTGATCAACAAGAACGTTTGGGTTACTTACTACAGAGTCCTTTTTTGACACCTTTAGTTCAGTTTTTGGGCTATGGTCTTGGGCTAAACTGTCTGAGTTTAAATGCAGTTTTTAATAAATTGCCTGCTCTATTGTTTGTCTCTTGCTCTTCTCTTCCTTTTTGCATTTTGAAGCTCTACTTACAATCTGGTTACTTTCCACCAGCACAAAATGCAAATACTTGTAATTTTCCCCCTGGTCTTAAGATCTCAACTCTCAAAATGCCTGTTTTGCACTGTTTATAGTTTCTGATCTGATCAAACCGAGAAACCGAGAGTACCAAAAGGAGGAAAAATGCAAGAAACTGGAAAAAATAAAAATGCTGGAATACACACGCCTTGTAAGTAATTTTGTGTACACTACATTTAGAATATTTTCACAAATTTACCTGGCTGCCAGACAGCCCTTTCTTACAGGGAACTGAAGCTGTTTTATACATCTATGCTGTCTCTCCAAAGCCACCAGACTGACTGGTGTTTTAACACAAAACAAAACACCAAAGTCGCACAATAATACAAGCTAACCAATGGAGGCAGGTAGACCATCAACTCCTGTGTTCCTCAAGGTAAAACTATTGTCTGGTGGCTTTGAACAGAGCAATATAACAAGTTCGGAAAAGGCAAGTCTTTCAGTTGGCTCCATTTTATAACATAAGACTCACATCCAACAGGTTGTGATTTTCTGTTTGTACCTTTCTCTCTGATATCGTTTAAACTAGTGTGTGTGTGTTTGTTTGTTTGTTTCTGCTTGTCTCACTCTCTGTTTAAACACAGCTGACAACTAAGTATGCAGTTAAAAAAATACAATCACAGAAAGCCATCATACTGTTTCTAATAAATATAGTGGATTGGCAAGTGTTGATATATCATTATGTTTGGGAAAAAAATTTAATCTGAACAGGGCTGGCAGGCTTGGGACGCATATTCCATCCTTTATTAGAACCAAATCATTTAATATCATAAGAACAGACTTTCCTGTGGAAAAAATAGAGCATACAGCGAAACAATCAGAGCGCAAACCAATCACGGAGTTCTGCGCCGCACCATCCGCTGTGTGAAAAATCCCAATTGGTTAACACTGGCGCTTCGGGGAACGTCGCAGCACCTCCGCCTCCTGTCTAACTTCAATAATTTCTTCATCAATGCTATCAACCTGTCTTAGACCCCATCCCAACTAGGCTGCTTAAAGAAGTCTTATCCTTAGTTGGCACTTATTTACTCAATATGATTAATCTTTCTTTATTATCAGGATATGTACCACAGTCCTTTAAAGTAGCTGTAATTAAACCCCTTCTTAAAAAGCCCACTCTTGACCCAGGAGTTTTAGTCAACTATTTCTAACCTCCCCTTCCTCTCTAAAATTCTCAAGAAAGTAGTCGCCAAACAGTTGTGTGACTTCCTATATAGCAACAGCTTATTTGAGGATTTTCAGTCAGGATTTAGAGTTCATCACAGCACAGAGACAGCTCTGGTTAAAGATAATAACAACCTTTTAATTGCTTCCAACAATGGACTTGTCTCTGTACTTGTATTATTAGATCTTAGTGCCGCATTTGACACCATTGACCATAATATTCTATTACAGAGACTTGAGCTTTTAATTAGCATTAATGGAACCGCACTAATCTGGTTTAAGTCCTATTTATCAGATCGTTCTCAGTTTGTACATATTAACAAAGAATCCTCCATAAATACTCAAGTTAGTCACGGAGTTCCACAAGGTTCTGTGCTTGGACCAATTCTATTCATTTTATATATGCTTCCCTTAGGAAACATTATTAGGAATCACTCCATTAACTTTTACTGTTAATGCAGATGATACCCAGTTATATCTATCGATCAAGCCTGATTAAATTAATTAATTATCTTAATTACAAGCATGTCTTGAGGACATAAAAACCTGGATGAGCTGCAATTTTGCACTGAGCTCCTCTCATCCTCTCCCTCTCTTTCTGCACTCATTCATGTTCCATTAATGCATGTTACTAACTTCACTTCTTCCCCGGAGTTCTTGTGCTTTCTCATCTCGCAGGTTCTCATAGATTCTGGTGGTGCCTGCTGCCAATATTATTCGTCCCCCATCGTTGTGGCTGTTGTCGTCATGTTTGTCATCACCATCAGTCATTTCTATTAGTATAGTTGTTGCTATTGTTGTTGCTGTGCACGTTTGTCTCGGTCTCTGTCCTTCTCTCTTTACCCCCCCTTCTCTTCACTCTCTCTCTAACCCCAACTGGTCGAGGCAGACGGCCACCCACCTAGAGCCGAAGCCTTCTGCCGAAGTTTTTCCTTGCCAAGCCAAGCGCTTGCTCGTGGTGGGAACTGTTGGGTCTCTGTAAATAATTTTATAAGGAGTTCGGTCTAGACCTGCTTTATTTGAAAAGTGTCCTGAGATATCCTTGGTTATGAATTGGCGCTTTCCAAATAAAACTGAATTGAATTTTCTTTCCCTGGTGTTAGTCCAAATTTTGTACTACAGTCATAAGCCATCATATGCACCAAGTCTGGTGCAAACACATTTTCTCATTTTTAAACAACCACTTACGCAAAGAAGCCCAGTATGCCTTCTTCTCTGTAGACTGTGACGATGGAGTCAAACACCCCACTGAGAACAGAAGAGAGAAAACATTTTTTAGGTTTGTACCATTTTCATGGATCTACTCATTGAGGTTTGTGACTAAAAACTTTAAAAAAAACTTTACCTGTATTTTGTTTCCCTCCCAATAAACTGGACCATACATCGCAAAGTAATCACTGAAAAACAAGTTGAAGAAAACATACTTTACATTCAGACTATTGTCTTCCAACACACATTAGCCAGAGCTAAACAAAACATTTCCCGTTTATCACAACTGAAACCACTTTAAAACTCTGATACAACCTCTGTATATTGTTTTGGTTTGCCAGTTAAAGCCATCTGAAAGAGTTGAAAACATTTAGGACGTACCATGAAAGGGATGTGTGACAATGGTGGCACAGGAACGAGCTATCATCTCTTTGGTTGTCTGTGGAAAAGACAGAAAATAATCTATCAGATGTATGTATGAAAGTGGCATTACATAGATTCTGCATGTGTCGAGTTGATTTGCAAAGGAAAATCAGAATTTACAGACCACAGATACAATAGGGACTTTTAAAAATATTTAAATATCAGTGGAGTTTTGTGTATTGTATATAGAGATGATGAAAAGCTAGAGCAGCAGTAAGTCAATTAGTTGACAACTATTCAATTAATTGCCTGTTTTGATAAATCAAATTGTTTTGAGTCATTTGAGAACAAAAAATGTCAAATTCTCACAATGTCACAAAATTTTATCTGTTTTGGCAGTGTGAAAGGTTTTTGGACAGTTATTTTAGATACTGGAGGTTATAAGGTGCCCTGTGGAAACAAAATACATTGTGTGTATCACTGGGGTCTAACAAACAAGTTGAATGCCTTCCTGTCTTCATAAAACATTTGCAAAGCTGAATTTTGAAATAGTGTGTTTGTTTCAGATGCAACAAAGGTCGTCATGGCCACTTGGTTCCCAAGAAAAATCTGCTATTGTTTGGTTCCAGCTTGGAACCAACTTTTCTGGTTTCCAACCAATTTAGTTTTGGTCGAAATGCTCAGAACAGTTCAAAACTGGTCCTCGAACTGGAGCTGGTTACCTGTAGGTGGAAAAGGCCTGAGAGTGTTGGCAGCTGCAGCAGCTGTTTTCAGAGAAAGTGCTCTAAAAACCCACAAACATTTTTGAATTTGACTTACATATATTTGAATAATCATGTTGCTCTGTGTCAACTTTATAGTGATGATATGTCAATGTTATTTCAGTTTTAAGTCAGACAATTTGAAACTGGTTGTTAAATAACTTCAGACTGCAGAAAAGCTGCCATGTTTAAGGTTCAAAATCCAGTGAGCTGGTGGGAAGGTGGCTGTTGATCTAACGTAGAGTTTAAACAGAACGACAGCCTAGCTAACACAGTTAGCACATGTGAAAAAACCCAGGGAATGTCTAATATATTTAAAAGATGAAAAATGTGACTTCAGACAGACAGACAGCCTAGTGGGTTCCCACAAAAGAAATCCAGGTCCAATTCCTGGACCTTTTCCAGGAGTTTTCTAGACAATGCAAGACAATACTTGTTCACAAACAGTATAATCTTGAAATTTCCATTTTTTCCAGGATGTGTGGGAACCCTGCCTGAGGTTGCTCTTGTATTGTGTGTTGCTTTCTGGTAGTATGTCATCAGAAGTGTACAAGTGTCTTACCTCGTTAACAACGTGCTGTAGGGAACCCTCCAAAGCCTTCTGCTGACCGCCTAATACCTGGACAACAGAGGCAGACCTCAGCATTGTCTATGTTTAAAGACTTTTTTTGGCCATTTTATGCCAAGACACAGCAGACATTTGTCTGAAGTAAGAAACTATAACGACGATAAGTGATGACATGCAGCAAAGGCCAGTAGCCAGACCTATATTTGGGGAGTACCTTAACCAGTAGGCCACCAAAGCAGCCTGTCTATCTTGCTTCCCTTTTTGACCCAAGAAATATGAGTCCCTTTGCATTCCTGTTCGTGTTTCCATCACACAGAACTGTGAACATGGCGCTAAGCAAGACTGGAAAATGGACAGCCATGGCTGTTTCTCACGTGACAAAATAACAACATAGAGTCAGAAGGTTATTCTTTGTAAGTTGGCACGATAATGATTGGCGAAATGTATAATAATCATTTTGAATTCTTAAGTATGTTTGTGTAATTTTTTTTGTGTAGTTTTCCAGAAAAAATAAATCAACATTTCAAGAGTCAGAACTGTTGTTTGTTGTTGTTGTGGTAACACTAGTGACACTAGTGAAATTAAAAAAGTGAACAACTTGTGCTGCTTATTTTAGGTTTGATGGATTGTTCAGATTGTTGCTCAGTTACCTGACAGTTGATGGGCCAGACACTGACTTAAAACTTTCAAGTGATTGGTCAGCTGTGTGGATGTGTAAATTAAACTTCTTCACACTTTAACAGAGTATCAAATAGACGCACTCTACTATACAATATAATGATTTTGGCAATGTACGTGACATCCTGCTGACATCTTACCTGAGGTGTGCCTTGTTCCTGACATTTCTGGAAGAAAGCAGATGTTAACATTATAAAACTGCAGATGTTAATAAAGACTCAGTGAGTTACATTAACACCCTGGCTGGCAAAGACATTTATAATACCTTAAGTAACAGTAAAGGCAGAATGAGACACCAGAAGCATATACTGTAACCACCTCTTTCATGTGTGGGGGGCTATAATGAACAGTGGGTGTAATGAAAAGCAGGAATTATTTCAGTCGGAATTCTCCTCTGTTATGGTTTTGCAAAGGCACGGTCTTCTCTGCTTAGCGCCACTCAAGAAGATTGTGATTGGTTTAAAAGAAATACAGACAGGTGAGCGTTTTTTCTCTTTTTACCAATACTTTTGACACATTCAATTAGTAAATGGTAAATGGACCTGTACTTGAATAGCGCCACATTCACCCTTTCACACACATTCACTCAGTGATGGCAAAGTCCATCGAACAGAAACTAACTCATTCATACACATTCACACACCGATCAGGAGCAATTCTGGGTTCAGTATTTTGCTCAAGGATACTTCGACATGTGGCAGGAGGAGCTGGGGATCGAACCAACAACCGATTACCTTACGATTAGTGGACGACCCGCTCTGCCTCTGAGCCACAGCAGCCCAGACATACAATTAGTATATCCATGCAAATGGTAAAGCAACACAGACACAACAAAACAAGCATTCTTTCAGTACATATAAATAAGTAAACATACAGCCAGTTTATTTTCAGTGTCTTCATGTTTAATTCTGTTATTGTGGAAGGAACTGGTTGTTGTTGCTGTCTAAAGACAGCAAACACATTGTATTATTGTAAGATGCAGAATGGTACTAGAATCCCAAATGAATTGACTGACGTCCTGTGCAAAGTGGCACTCTGCCCATTGTGATCAGATTATGAAGATAATTAATCAAACTGATTTATATCTTTTTTTTTTTTTTTTCAATATATATTTTTTGCTAGAAATATCCAGCGGGCCAATCAAATCTTATGGTGGACTAACTTTGGCCTGCGGGCCCTACTTTGGACAGCCCTGGTTTAGTAAGACACAATATCAGTACAGTCTATATATAATTGATATGGCTGATAATGAAACAGCACTAGATTTACATATGGCTATTTAGAAGACATTTTTCAGCCTTTGCCACACACAATTGTGCCCAACAACAAGACAAATGTATTTACACAATGCTAAAGGATGATGCTAATTGTTGCACTATACCTCCATACATGTATTGCTTTCATCTGAAGAACAAGCTGTATGTGTGTTATATCCGTTTATGGTGCGCTTGGTATATCCAGGCCTACCTGCACAACTTTGCTGTGCACAACAGTGCCGATGGTGCTAGCGCCCAGCCTTGGGACGAGCCCTTTGAAGAGACCTGCTTTCCCATCAATCTTGATGATGTGTTTTGCTGAAACATTCATACAATACACAGCAGCATCAGTTATAACATGCACAAAAAAAAAAAAAAAAGACATTTACACTAAACTGTGACCAATGAGCTCAACGTACGGTCAATGTCAATGTACGGTTGTAAAGGGATTTTTTTTCTCAGTTTGTGGACCTGTACGTTGGTTTGTTTGTGTTTTGCTCTAGTATCAACAATGAGACCATAAATCAGAATTAAAGATAAAAATCAAACTGCATTTATCAGATAGCTCCCAAAGATGTGGATTAACTCCTGTGAGATCTGACAAGGTAGAGGCTGGGTCAACACTTCTGACTGCGCTTCTACTAGCTCTGCTATTTCCCAAAGATCCCATTTATCCTAATTTTCAAAGCCTTAGAAAAAAAGCTCAACATTGCTTTAGGGTTTCCTGGACCGCTCCAGGGGTTTTGCACAATCAGCCCAGTAAATATGTGTTTACAACTTACATTGCTGACACCATGTTCTAGTTCATGCAAGCAGCGCTGTCACTTTTAAACAGACTTTTCCAACACTGCACAGCCTGTTGGATTTAGGTAGCTTTATTACACCATCAAATTCAACAAGAGCCTTGAAACACTGTTCCATGTTTTTATTGAACAGCCAAACCGAGAGTTATTATGAACACTGACTGACAAAATCCTGAGTAGGCTACGGACCTACAGTCTTTCTTTACATATAGAACGGGGAAGTGAGATCCAAAGTGGTCACTCGAGACACATTTTAATGCTGGGTGTGAACTGACATGCTTAAACCTGTCCACTTATAATTAGATCACCCAAGATGCATGTTAATATCAGGTACAGGAACACAGCCCGAGCTGAACTCAGATGTGCTCTTATTGGATGATCGGGGCTGGAAGACCCGCATACTAGTTAGTAAACAAGTAGTTAGTAGAAGTACATACACAGATAGGTCTCACGCCATTCCACGCCATTCCACTGACTGACAGTGGGCGACAGTAACATGGCAATAAATAAAGCAATGTGCAAACAAAGGCAAGAAAGAAGAATACTGCTAGCAAATAAACATGGATGTAAACAATGCAGGGTTGTTTTTTGAAATGTGAAATGTTAAACTTCAAGGACACACAGTGTGTTCAAGTGAGAACCACCAAATGTAAACATAACTGTGTTACAGGGCTACTTGAAGGAAGATTACAACTCAGTAGACTTGTGTCATTACTATTTAAGTTCAAAGACATATTTAATTTTAGGAGCCTCATATTCCAAATGACAAGCAGGAAAATTGCTTCTACATTCCTGCAAAATATCACCAACTACAGTCTTATCTAGGGAAAGACAGATCAGGCGTCTGACTGCATAAAGCAACCCAACATGCACTTTATTTCAATTTGACACGCTGTTCTCATGTTAGAATAACCCCCAGTCACTTTTTGTAAAAGTCAAAGTGGAATCTGGCAAGTGCAGATCTCCTAACAGTTCCATAACAGTGCAGTACAGTACAGTTTAGGTTGGGTTGTTACAATCAAGTAGAAAATACAGCAGCACAGAGAGACATTAAATGCACAGCTCCTTCTGCTTTCTTAAGAGCACTGTGATAATTAGAATTGTGAATAGGCGAGACTCACCATAGGCAAACAGGCCGGGCAGCTGGTAGACCTGCCTGCCGAACAGGTTCCTGCCCAGGGTGGGAGGGAGCGGCTCGTGTCCTACCTGATGACACACACAATAATAATGAGAAGCAATATACAACTGTACTGCAGCACACACACAGGCTCTCACACACTTCCGGGTTTCTTTTGGACGCATTCATCCACTTTGGGCTAAATGTTGTCTTCACTTTGTCAACTTCTGTCTGTCGATCATCATCCCGATACGGACGTTTCTCTGAGCGCTACTTACTGTTTCTAAAGCAATGCTGACTGTAATGCTACAAGAAGTAAATGATCCACTATAGCCACGGCTGTAGCAAGTTAGCCAAAGCTAGTGTTAGCTCAAAAAAACATTTTAGTGGGCCAAAGGGCACTGGTCACACTTCAGAGAGCTAACGGCTAACAACCGTTAGCCAACGTTACCTCCTGACCTTTTACTGTCACGCGGGTCAACCAGGCCACTGTGTGTGTGTGTGTGTGTGTGTGTGTGTGTGTGTGTGTGTGTGTGTGTGTGTGTGTGTTCACTTTGTCATTTCAGGAATTGTTTTAAAATGCAGAAACTAGAGACCAAAGCGTGAGACAACCCAGCTACCGAGTTAGCAATGCAACGTATCGCAACCTAACACACCTTAGCTTGTTAGAAGAATATGAAGATATGTGCCAGGACCGTTAAAGTATTCTCATACATTCAGAATACACACAATGAACGAAGCAGCTCTATATTTTAATACAGTGTGAACTTGAATGGACTCACACACCTCGCTTCCGCCCACTACTGAGTGTTGTGGAGACAGAAGGTCATAGGGACAACAGACGGAACAACAATGGAGTTGATGTTGCTTTCGTTATGATTGCGGTTATGTGTATTACATTACGCTGAACTAAAGAGTCCACTGTAGCGATTCACCCAAGTGCTGGAGTGAGGCCCTACACTTTCATTACTGAGAACCAAGGCAACATTAAACTGCGCTATTTCCAATGCACTTTGGCAGTTCCCTCTTCAGGGTGGTTGAGTTCTACTGTATTTACAAAGGCTCGCAAACCGCGACTGAAGGACCCGGACCAGTAACAAGTTCCCAGCGTGTGCACGAACAGCCCCCCTCTTACCTGGATCAGGACCTTAATGTACATCAGAGGGTGGGAGAGGACGGTGAGCCCTGAGCCCAGCAATACTTGGCCACACGTGTCCGCCATTTTTGGAGAGACAGGGGAGACAGGAAGTCCTTCTCTTTGGTCTTGCGTCATAGGAGCCGAGAGCAGCCATATTTGATCCTAATAACGGTACCGCCATCTAGTGATTACAGTCGCCATGGACCCTTTACTTGGCCACGCTAAAATAATTCAAAATCACAACAACAGGGCGTCCTGTTACTCAGCGGGTAGAGCTGGCGATCCCACGCATCGAGGTTGAATCCCTGCTGCAGCGGCCGAGGACTCGAATCCGTCCCCTGCCCCTTGCTGCGTGTCATCCCCTCCCTGTCTGTCCTAAGCTGTCCCTACAATAAAGGCAATAAAAGTCCCAAAAATATACTTAAAAATAAAAAGCACAACAAAAAAGGCCAGGGATACTTCTAAACAACAATGCCAAGTGAAAATGAGAAATTCATAGTTAAAAATATGAGCTTTATGATCGTAGTAAAAAAAAAAGGAAAACAATGTATAATTTCGTAGGCCTACTTATATAATTTTATCATTCTGAATTTTTACGATGCTTTTCTACACATTGTTTAAAGATCCCCTCCAGACATGTTTTAGGACACATACGAATAGTAATCTGTTGAGTATTTCTTTTTCTGACAACTGCTCACTTTTACCCCCTACATTTTTATACAAATATCTGCACTTTCTACTTATTACATTTTCAAAACAGGTGTTACTTTATTTTTAATGCATTTGAATGTAATTCAATTCAATGTATTATTATATATGTTTTTGCATCATTGCATTCCATACCAACATCAAGATTATTGCTATACATGCACGACAGACGTTCAGTTAACCTTGCACAGAAACAGCTGGTAGAAACGTCCTTCAGAGAAACAAAGGGAGGACCTTTTACTATTTTCTACTTTGAGTACATTCAGAGGAGACTAAACAAGTTGAATTAGTACTTTTACCGAAGTCTACATCTACTTGAGTAAAGAATGTGTGTATTTTTGCCACCTCAGCTCATTTGTTTTTTTCTACAAAAAAGTATAATTTCCACAATGAAATTCTTTAAAAGACCTTTACTCATTCATCCTCATTAAACATTTCAGAATCGTAATGTCTAAAGTTTAAGGAAATGTTAACTTATGTTGAGAAATGTGTATATGTCCTTGCCCTTGTCGCCAAGTGCTTGCTCATGGTGGTACTGTTGGGTCTCTGTAATTAATGTTAAAGAGTTCGGTCTAGACCTGCTCTATTTGAAAAGTGTCCTGAGATAACTTCTGTTATGAATTGGCGCTATACAAATAAAATTGAATTGAATTGAATTGAATATGTTGCATGGGTAATATTTAGGGGTGTAAGAAAATATTGAAAAATATTATATTAATATTATATTTAATTCCTTTTTAACAAAAAACGCTTCATCATTTGTTATTTGCCTGCTCTGTCTGCTTGATAATCCAGCCTTGTTACCTGCTGGCTACATGTCCTAATGTTGGACCTGTTTGCATTTTCCTTAACCCATTTATTTATTCAGTTTGGTTTAATTGATTATGGCTGTCAATAAGAAGAAAACATCCTCCAGGATGCTGGATTTTTCCATATAATGAAAGAGAGTGCAGTGTTTTAGTTGAAGTAACTTTATTGAATGATCATTGACTATTGTTCCAATGAGTTCAGATCTGCAGCTTCTGTTGTTCAGTGAGCATGAGGAGACAATCTTCCCTCTGATCTGTCTGTCACCACATCCGAACAGACTTCTTCTGTAACAGTGAACAGTGATGGATTAGGGTCAAAACTGTAATTGTACAGTGTTGAATACAAATTGTAGACATATATAATTTACTCATGTGGACACTCACAGCACTTGTAGAGTGTGTTGAGCCTGGCCTTGTCATTACGGCTCATCTCCTTAGCGTTGCCAAAGGACACGTTGGAGTTAGGGATGGGGACCATGGTGGGCTGGTTGTTCTTGGAGAAGGCAAACCTACAACAGGACACAGAGCAGTTAGACTGAACCACAGCACATCCTGCACATACAACTCACACACTGGCACACAATTGTTCTCACTTGTGGTACTGCATGACGGAGTTGTAATCATAGGGAGTGCCCTGGTTGAGGGTGGCAATCTTCCTGAAGTTGTGCTCCATTCCTAAAAGAACCCCAACATAAATCAAATTAACATTTGTTTGGTTTTCATTCACTTTGACTGCTGGAGAATCAGTGTTGTCAGTCAAATTTGTAAAGTCATCCGAATTCCAAACCTAAGAATGTATGTGCAGTGCCAACATTCAGTACAAAACTCTAACCTTACAATTGAAATGCTCTAATATTCCATTCTGAATAATAAACATCTCCTTTACCAGACTGAACATTTTGCAGCATGACTCTGATGTGGTTGTCTCTGTCAGAGCGTGTCTGTTCATGGTTGAATCCCAGAGCATGGAGCAGCTCATGCTGGACGGTTCCGTGGTAAAGGCATCCCCTACGGGCCAGAGACACCACCTGCTTACCGCCACGACGGCCAACAAAGGAGTAGCAGCTGGACGAGATCAGATATGAGTTGAGTAACACGGAAGTCTGAAAAAAGCTTTCAAGTCAAACTGTTCATTGACATCGGTTTTCCTACCCATTCTGGGACTCGATGCTCAGCCAGTCGCGGTCACTACTTTTGCTGGGCCTGAAGCGGATGCAGGAGAAGGAAGAGAAGGACTCCAGACCACGGGTGATGATGGCCTTCTCACGGGAGGCTGGCAGGGAACATTTAACTTTTAACCATCTCACAAGAAAAACAGAGGACCACACCATCCTTAATATACAGGACAGGTTCTTGGTCTTTTGCATTCGAAAAGGTGAGGGTTGTATTTTATTCAGACAATTATGTATTCACAATAATATTCTTTTTGAATGTTCATGAGTTCAGTTTAGCATAGAGGACTTTCTGATGTAATGTGTTATACTGCTGCGAAATAAATAAATTCCCAATGAGTGTAAGCACCTTCAAATGCAAATAGGATGAGTGACTCAACGGTATATCATATATTGGTTCAGTAATCATTAATGGGTTGGTTTCACCTTTTGCTGACTGCTGTTGATCAATGTCACTTAAAGATCTTTTGCCAAAGTTTCTACAAGTGGTTGCACCATGCTGTATAAAGACTGACTGATACTTACAGAAGTGACTGGCGATGTAATAAGGAATGTAGACCTTCCCATCAGTCCACTTGCCCCACATGCAGCCTCGGCTGGTGCAGGGATCGGCATTTCTCTCTGCCTCGCTGTCGATGGCGACGTCTCCGTCAATCAGAATGGGATCATTGTCGGAACGGACTGAAACATGCACACACACACACACACACACACACACACACACACACACACACACACACACACACACACAAGCAACTTAAAAACCTGTTAAAGTGCTACTAACAGAAGAAGAAACATCAAGAGTGGCCATGAGGAACATGGCGACTGCAGCAGCTCTCACTCACTCAGATTACTGTTGGCTCTCTCCAGAAGTTCAGAGACAGAAAGCTCAGCTGAGTCCTCCTCTGTTCAGTGACATCAACAACAACACAGTTTCACTTTGCAGCCAACACCAGTCACAATGCTGTGCATGTCTGTACAATACAATAAATTACATACCTGTCTGCAGGTTCAGAGTGGGATTGTGGGAGAAAAACAAACACATGACAAAACATTATTGCAAACAAATGACCAAATTCTGTGTCTTAAAGTGGCATGTTCACATTAAGGCTGTTAGAAGTACAAAGACATTATGTGATTACACTGTGAGAATCACAGAATCTAAAGATTTGCAGATAAAGTGCTCTAAATGGTCAAATATCTGTGAGAAATGGTAGATATAGCGCTAAAACCCAGCAATCTGATCCTACCTCACTGTCGGCCCAACAGCAGGCAGACAGAAGCAGCAGAGCCAGAGCTGAGAACCTGAAAACAGACGTACGAGCCATCCCAGCAGACCTGCAGGACCCAGACAGGAATCAGCTTCCACTCAGAGGAAAGACAGTCTTTGAAGCAAAGATAGAGATACTTTTCCATTACAGATATTTGAACTCACCTTGGATCCTCTGTGTGGACTTGTGAAGCTGAGGTTTCACTGCAGGTTTTTATATATGCTTGACTGCATCTGTAAGCCCAAATATGGATTATCTGGACTCTAAGAAACCTGTAGAATGAGCTAAACTCACAGGCTTATCAGTCACATAATGTACGTGCAGACATACATATCCACATACGCAGACAGAAACACCTATGGGTGGGAAAAAGGACACTTGTTGCACTTGTTTACTATCATATTGTACAGTACTGTCACTCCCATGTCTGAATTCTTCTTCTTATTTTCTGTATTTCCATAGACTGTATTTATCGCATTAATTGTTCAGCTGACTCAGCTGTTTTTATAAATCAGAAATTAAATCATATTTGTGCACTTTGATAACAAGAGTGAACCTGTCGACAACCCGCACACACATTAGGTTTGCCTGAGTTGTTTGTTGTTAAAATATTTTTGTCAAGAGCAATGCCATGTCTTACCCATTACGTTTATAATACAGTTTATGTATTAAATGTGATTAATTACCTACAAGGCCATATATGGTCTGGTTCCAGATTATATCAAAGAGCCTTTGGCCCCTTACAGCCCAGCCAGGCCCCAACATCAGCTGTTCCACTGACCAGACAAAGGTGATCATGCGTTTTTTTCTGCTCCACTGCAGCATTCAAGTTCCTTCTAAAGACTCATGTTCACAAGATGCACTACACTTAACAATGTTTTACATGTTTTTCCATAATTTTATAGTGTTTCAGATACTGTATTTTAATTGTCCTTGTTTTAGTACCATCAGTTTATGTTTTCGATTATAATTATATTTTTGCAGTTTAATCTTGGTCTTACTTTTTGTATGTTTATGGGGACACACACTAATTTCTAATTTTAATTTTGTTTGTTCTGTATACTTCTAATCTGGAAAGCACCTTGTGCTTAAGCTTGAAAGGTGCTTTATAATAAAATTGTTGTTGTTGTTGTTTATTATTATTATTATTATTATGCTACCAACTAAATAATCTACATGCAGAAAAGTAACATAACCTAACCTATTATAGAATTAACACACATTGACATAAGGTTGACTATATGGAATAGGATTATTGCCACATGTGAAAAACCAATTTGAAAAAAAGTCGTAATCCTGAGTTAGTCAGTACAATAAAGTCTTCTGACATTAAATGCAGAACTCAAACAAATCCTCTTCCATATGAATCAACTAATTTTTTCCACAAATGTAACGTTTATTGTATGGGATAGTATAATATTTGAAATTTTTGTTTGTTATCGTGTCCACCCTATATCTTTTCAGAATTAAAAAGTAACTCATTCCCCTCAGGTGTGTCTGTGTGTGTATATGTGTGTGTGTGTGTGAGTGGACACACTGTGCTGAGTCTGGCATTCGGAGCAAGGCCAGAAAAAAGGCTTATCAACTACAGTACATGCCACATTTGATCACCTGTGTGTGTTTATCGAGCAACGTCACTGAACCCTGTTCATGAAGGCCAACAACGTGAGAAATAAAGAAAATGTGAATAGTGCCAATCACCTGTGTAGGTTTACACAAGTTCTGGAGTTCTAGATGAATGTTCGCCTTGTTCTTTAATCAAAAATAACTGTAAGTTCAAATCTTCTGTGACAGTGAATGCTGGTATAGTCATTTATATCTCTTCTATATATGTATATAATATGTACGGGTGGTGGCAAACAGAAACTTGAGGTTAAGATATGTTAATATGCATTTTATTCATTATGAGTATTCAGTCAAGCTCACAAGCAGTTATATAAGTGTACATTTGTGATGATGTCACTCTACACTTTTTAATTCTCATCGGGACAGCAGAAAAGGCCATTCAATCAAATTTGGGATTTCATAAAAGCACATTCATTAGCACAAGATGCATTTCTGGTTTGGCTTGGAGATTAAGAAGTTGCATCAGTCTGCCAAATCTCCTCCTGATTTCCTGTTCCTGGAAAAAGAGAGAATATGTTAAAAATTTTCAAATCAATATACGCGCACACAGACACACACAGCTGTCATTCCACGCCTTACCCCATGGGCTTTTGCTTATAATCTTCATAATTATTATATAATCATACTTTTTTTTTAATCAGGGTTCTCAAACCTTTTCATGTCGAGCCCCCCACAGTAGGTGCACATTTGTCCATGGAATCCCCTCTGAGTAGTATTTGTATTTTTAGGTTTGAAGATTATGATGTTTTCATAGTCAATCAATGCTCAAACAATATAAATTACAATCAATCAAATTTATCCAATCCTATTTCTTCCCTTGTTGTTTCAGTTTCCAATTTTTTTTTTGTAAAAGTTAAGATATTCTATTCTTCCTATTGCTGGGCCCCCTACAACCCACTCAAGGACCCCTATTGAAATCTATGGCTGATGACTCTATTTCTAATTGTACAGTCCATGTTATACACTAATGAAAACATACCTTTGACTATTAAATGCTATTTTGTGCCAATAGACCCCTTAAATGTCACAAACTTGAACTTTCGCTTATAAATGTACTTATACTATATATCATAGGTTGATATCTGGCAATGAGGAAACATAGGTATAAATGAACATTCACATTTTCTTGTCTGTATCTGTCGCTACTTTATAAAGGAAAAAAAAAGGTTACATATGAACCAATAAATAAAAGTTGCTAAAAAAGTAAAGACCTGGAAAATAAAGACAGAATGTACAGCTAGGTTCACATAAATATTATATGCAGTTTAGATCACATTCAGTGTGTACATACGTGTTAGAAAAACATCTCAAATCACTTACTTTAATTTCTAGAGGAAATGGTCCCTTTGCACAGGTTCCAGGTCAGGTCTGGGAGCAGTGGAATCTGAAAGTAATCCAAAAAGATGGCAAAACCTATAAAAGCTGCTGGAGGTCTTTATGGCACTGCAACATTGTGCATGAACATACTCAGGGTTTGATCTTTCTAGGTCTGTGTTTACTAGTCTGTCCATTTTGTCAGTAAGAAGATAGCATGAGAATGGACTGTTGGTAGGTGGGTAGGCTAGTGGGTAGCCAGGTATGTAGGCAGGAAGACAGGTGAGAATGTAAGAAGCTCAGAAGAGATATATTGTATATATATCGTAGATAGATATGGGGGCAGCTGTTCGTCAGGAGGAAGTTGACAAGTCAGAAGAGGTTGTCGGTTCGATCCTTAGCTCCTGGTGAAGCGTCCTTGAGCAAGATACTGAACTCCAAATTGAAGACTAGAAAGGCGCTATACAACTCAGTTTACCATTTATAGAAACAAGAAGGAAGTTATTCAGTTGGATACAAAAAATGTAGTAGGTTACATGGATTCAAAGGTACGTACTGCAGCCATAAAGGCGGTTCACCCGAAGGATGTCAATAGGACTCATCTGGGTGGCCCTGCCAATGGCTACGTTCCCGTCGGGGATTGGAATGATGGTTGGCTGCCTGTTACTGGAGAAGGCGAACCTATGGCACAAATACACAGCAGTGATGATAGGGCTAAACTGCAAACCTGAAACTATTTTCTAACCTGCGCAGATCGTGTTCAACAAGAATCATTCTTGTTGAACACGATCCACCAGCTAGCAGTAGCTGGTTTAGCAGCTAAAGAAACAGATGTCGACTGTGGCAGAGGCAGAGTGGGTCGTTCCTTAATCGGAAGGTTGTGGGTTCGATCCCCGGCTCCTATTGCCACATGTCGAAGTATCCTTGAGCAAGATACTGAACCCCAAATTGCTCCCGATGCCGTGCATTGGTGTGTGAGTGTGTATGAATGTTAATTTCTGTTCAATGGACTTTGCCATCACTGAGTGAATGTGTGTGAAAGGGTGAATGTGGCACGTAGTGTAAAAGCGCTTTGAGTGGTCGGAAGACTAGAAAGGCGCTATACAAGTACAGGTCCATTTACCATTTACCATGTTTCCCTCAGGAATTAGTGGAGACTGAAAACAGAGCTAAAAGATGGTGAATGTTGAACATACGTAGAAATAGATCGGGGAAACAAATGCAAAGGGAAAATAATCCATAAATAAAAACACAAATACATGTAAAAAGGATTTGGGCTATTATTATTTTCAATATTTGTGTAATTTTTGGTGCATTTTACGTTTTTTTTTTTGTTGAGTCATTTATTTTAGATTTTGGCAGGTCCGCCATTAAAAAATGGTGTAAAACCAAGGGAGTATCTTCCAAAGTTATGAGCTTTTCAGTACAAAATCCCCCCTTTATGTTTTCGTGGACTGTGCTTGCTGAGCTGCTGTGGATGGGTGGTAACCAAAAGACATAACTTTGGATTACAAAGACTGTAACTGGAAGATACCACTGCTTTTGTCTTGCTCCAACTGCTCAAACCTCTTAGCTTCAGCTGAGCTTTAGAATACTTTTTTTTTTTCAGAATGAAGACTGTGGATTTTGCCTCTTTCATTGGAACTGCATTAGAAAGGGATCTCTATGTGGCCTGTATGGAGAGAAAGAATTACTGCAGTGTCCAGTAACTATTTCAATTTACATATGGGCATGTGATTTATAATTGAAAAAACATGAAAAAATGTGAACCTGTCTTTTAAAAATGCTCAGTTGTGTTTTTTATATATATAATATATAGAGACGCTACCTTCCATAGTGCATGACGGAGTTGTAGTCATAGGGAGTGCCAAGGTTCCTTGTTTGGATTATCCTGAAATTGTGCTCCATTCCTGCAGGAAGTACAGCTCAATCAACCATTGTTTGTTTGATTACAGTTTGCCAGTCAAAATGGCTGAAAAGTGCAGTAAGTCAAATTAGTGACTAGTTATCTGCAGGAACACCCTGAGTTACCATACTTGCTGAAATAATGTGATAAAGTCAAGTTTCTATTAATTTATTTGTACTTTGTAGTTTCCACTTGTGTTCCTAAACGTGATAAAGGTTGGTTGTATTAATTGTAAAACCCCATTTTGTTGTTTGTATATATATTAACGTTGCATCTATATTCTACACGATGACATATTTTTTAGATTGTTGGTCAAGATTGTGTGCAACGCAACACACCAGGAATGACGTTCTGCAGCAAGATGCGAACGTGCTCGTCTCTGTCGGACCGCGTCTGTTCATGGTTGAAGCCCAGGGCGTGGAGCAGCTCGTGTTGGATGATCTGAGGGAAAACACAGCCCTGGCGACTCAAAGACACCACCTGACCACTACCGCGACGCCCCACAAAGGAGTAACACCTGAAAGAGAGCATTAAATAAAACCAGTGAAGGCTCTTGAGAATATCCCACATACCCTGAGCGGAGACACACTGTGTTTTTCGACAAGCTCCAGTGGAAGACCCTAGGTGTACATATGGTCTATTAGTGCATTCATGAATTCACTAGTAAGTGCACTGTGTGGTACATACCCTGAGCGAGACTGGATGTCCACAAAGTCCCTCTGACGACTCCGTCTGGTGAAGCGGATGCAGGTGGACTCTGCAAATGACTGCAGACCTTGGATGATGGTCTCGCGCTCTCTTTGGGCTTAAAGTAAAAGAAACCCAAACAATTATTATCAGTTTGGTGGATTTTGTTAGTGTCATCTTCTAATTCACCCTGCCATCACATTAAAAGGCAACATTTAGCTGCAAAACCATTACTACATTACTACTACTGCTACTGCTGCCATTACTACTACTACTGCTACCAATCCTACTACTACTACTACTGATACTACTACTACTACTGCTACCAATACTACTACTACTACTGCTACCAATCCTACTACTACTACTACTACTGATACTACTACTACTACTGCTACCAATCCTACTACTACTACTGCTACTGATACTACTACTACTACTGCTACCAATCCTACTACTACTACTGCTACCACTACTACTACTACTACTGCTACCAATACTACTACTACTACTGATACTACTACTACTACTACTGCTGATACTGCTACTGCTGCTGCTGCCAGTCCTGCTACTGCTACTGCTACCAATCCTGCTACTACTACTACTGATGCTGCTACTGCTGCTGCTGCCAATCCTGCTACTACTGCTGCTGCCAATCCTGCTGCTACTACTGCTACCACTGCTACTACTACTACTGCCATTACTACTGCTGCTACTACTGATACTACTACTACTGCTACTACTGCTGCTGCCATTACTACTACTGATACTACTACTACTGCTGCTACCAATACTACTACTACTGCTGCTGCCAATACTACTACTACTACTACTACTACTGATACTACTACTACTGCTACCAATACTACTACTACTACTACTACTACTGATACTACTACTACTGCTACCAATACTACTACTGCTACTACTGCTACTGATACTACTACTACTACTGCTACCATTACTACTACTACTACTACTGCTACCATTACTACTACTGATACTACTGCTACTACTGCTACCATTACTAGAAGTACAACTACTGCTACTACTATACTCTTACAGAACTAGTGATGCTATTTCTACTATTGCTACTACTTTTATTTCTACTACCACATCTGCTATTGCTATTCCTAGTGCTATAGTGTTAATACTACAACTACTGCCATTTACTATACCGCTAGGCTACTACTGCTTCCACTAACTACTAGTACCTACTGCTACTACTAAGACTATGTATGTGTTGTTGAATTATGAGCAATCATGAGTTATAGTAACTATTAAAGAAGCAGACATACAGAACTGCCTGGAGATTTCGAAAGGCACATATACGTTGCCGTCGGTGGCTTTAGGCCACAGGCAGCCTCGTGCTGTGCAGGGATCAGCGTTCTGTAGACCGGTTGGCATTGCTATGTCTCCAAACATCACTAGAGGCTCATCTAAGTTCTTTCCTGCAAAATGGATGGAGGAGAGAATGTTTTTGTTTACTGTACAACATTTCTTTTTCTTGATTCCACGATTCTACTTACAGCACTGTAACACCAGCATTATGTATTATTTCTAAAGTTTTAGTGAATATTTTTGTTCTATAGTTTAGTTCTCAATTACTATACATTTGCTGCTAGAACAATTATTTCAATAAAGGACTGAATAAAGCAGTTGAGACGGAGATGAACATACCAACATTAGCATTGGCCTTCTCTAACAGCGTGGAGACACTAAATTCCTCCTCCTCAATGGTGTTGCCTGCAGAGTAGAAACAGTTTGTTCATGTATGGTGATGTAAGACTGCATATTTGCACAATTTTGTTGTCTGAAAAGTAGCCATGTCTTACCAGAGTACTCATCACTCTTTTCAAAAGAGGACTGTAACAAGACACAAGGCAAAACAAATTGTTTAAATACAGTTGGAAACCTCAAAAACTACACTGTAAAAAACTGTAACATTCTGGAAGCTGTACTTATTTTATTGTTAATTGTCACAAATGTTACGTAATTTTAGAAATCTATTAACAGTCATAGACATTTTCTTTTAATAAATAGCAATTTTAGAGACAGATTTTCTATGTTAGTTTACTTTAGACATGTAAATTCACAGGCTAATTGTAATTTCATTAATATTTTCATGGATTTAAAAAATACAGATTAAATCTGTAAAATAACAAGGAAAACCCCCATAAAATTACAGATTTATTTTTATTTTACCATTTATTTTCAGTGCACCTTTCAAGGCGAGGAAATCAAATGCTTGCAGATTAGAATGTAATGCTTTTTGTGACTAAAAGTATGAAATCAAAGACAAAATCACATTTTGCTTTTTTCAATTTTCCAAATGATCGTTGTTGAGAAACAATTTCCAATTTCAATTTCCCTACAATCAAGAAAAAAAGTTCCCCTATAATTTGAGCAGTCTAATCAATACTAATACAATATACAATTTTACTGCTGAGTATTATACCTTTCTGAAGACAACTGTAAATCTATATGACAGAAAATGTAATGTATTTTAATTAGTCACATATTAATGAATGTCCACTGACGCTTACCGGTATAGTAAAACTGTGGATGGAGCAGAAGAGGACACTGAGCGCAGCAACCTGGAGGATCATAGTTGGTTGTGGGACAGCAGCAGACCAAGAGAATGCCTGAGGAAAACAGAAGGGTTTGAATTTATATAGGTGGGAAAGTCAGCAAACTTTCATCAACTTTCCTTCCTAATATGGTATACTGCTCACCAAAGACTTATTGACTAACTCCGTTCAATTGGAAGTGGCAGTTATTACCCAAACCAGACGGTTATTTGTGTAACATGTGGGCTTTGTTTTCTGCAGTTTCCCACATGAAAAGCATATCTTTTTTATTTATTTACACTTTTCTCATCAATACAAGACATACATAAACAACATAAAAAGAAAAAAAACTACACACCAAAATAGCAAATATCACCACAACTAAGACAATCCATTCCCATAGGGCTGCACAGTAGTAGTCTGTATTAATTGCAGATATACAATACTGAGCACATTTGAAAACTTTATCCCAACTCA